ATCAATATTTAATAAATATAGCAATAATATATATATGAATTAACCCTACAAAATTTTTTTAAAATCATACCTCATGGTATATCCATTCTTGAATTCCTTCATTTTTCAACATTTTAATGTATTGAAAAATGATTTTAACAATTTCTTCATAATTAGCTATCAATGTTATATATATGATTGTAAATAAATATAACAATTATAACTATTAATTTAGAATTGTTCATAAATAAAATTACCTAGACCAGATTCAGTTAAATCAACATCAATATAGAAGAATCCAAATCCTGCACCCGCATCTCCTGGCCCTGCATCTAAAGAATTTGCTAAACCTTTTCAATAAAAAGTAAGTAAAAAAGTAAACAAGTAAATAAACAAATAAACAAATAAATAATGACTTTTCTTTTTTTGGGGGGGAACAACAAACCTTTCTTTTTCAACAGTGAAAATATAGAGCCAGCACCTTCATGACCCAATAAATGTGATAGATACCTTCCAGGCTTTATAATGATGTTTTTACAGAAAAAAAATTTTAAAGAATTTATAGATATGAAAAAAGTTAAATACTAATATATATAATTACCTTAGCACGGAATAAAGGATCTTGGACTGGAAAAGGAAACCTTATTTTCAATATTATTAAATCCTTGACTGGTTTGACAAATACTTTTTTCTAAAATAGAAAAGGAAATTTTTAAAATTTTAATATAAACATTATGTTTGATATTTGAAAATACATGATTTGATTTTACCATCAACTCATTTTTAGTATAAGGGGTTTCTTTGAAAATTGGTGCTGGTATTGATTTATTATTAATATCAGAAAATTTATCTACTACCCATTGAGTTAATTGATCCAAAGGCTCTAAGTATTCATCATAAAATTACATATAAAATAGATTATCATTAATAATAAGTATATAGATTCATAAAAGTACAAATAACTAATGATATAATAAATATATTATTAATGATACCTTGACCTAACACAACCAATTTCATAATATTTGCCGAGTAATAATTGTTGTGAAACTTTAATAACTCATCTCTAATATCCAACCCTTCTTTAAGTGGATTATCTTTTAAGGTAACTAAATTTCCAGTACCAAATTTTTTATAAGGATGTTTTGGGCTTGATAAAATTCTTCCAAGTTCATATAACCTAATTGTATCAGACTGAAGATTTTTTTTAAATTCTATATATATTTAAAAAACGATGGGATTATTTCAATCTACTATACAAACTAAATAATATATAATGTATATATATATTATTGATCATTACCAGAGTCCACTGCATGAAGTTCCCTGTCAGTACAACTAGGATCAAATAATGGTGATATAAAAAATTGTGCAAATCTATAAAAAATTAATAATTAATTGATTAATTAATTAAAATTACAATGACTATTTTTTTAATTTTAAAGTATGTATTAAGTATTAGTTACCTATCCAAAGCACCTTCCAAGTTTTCATGAGCTACTTCAAAATAATAGTTTGTATGATCTTCACTAGTATATGCATTTGAATATCCACCATGATTTGATAAGTACTAATAAGAATCATAAATTATTATTATTGTGCAAACAAGTCCAAGTATAAATATCAACGTAATCGTGTATTTTCCTGCAAAAATCATCCACAACTGCAAGCGTATTTTAAATTTTATTGGTGGGTTAGGCGTATTTAGAAATTACATTGGCAATCGCAGATGATTTTTGCATTTTAACACAATAATAAATTTCAATTACTTCAGAGTATTCATTTTCTTTTGGATACTACAAAATATAATTTTAATAAGGTATAGTATTGAAAATTTGATTTCTATATCAATTTATCAATTTATCATTTATGATTTCTTTACCTTTTTTGTACCCTACAGATATTATTAAATTGATTGATGGGTTCTTAATTAGTTAAATATCATGATTTAAAAATATGTATATAAATATTACCATGAATAAAAGATGTTCGCAGAAATGAGCAAGACCTTCTAAATTGTCCTAAACAACAACAATAATATGTTTTCACAAAGATATCAAAAAAAAATAAAAAATAAATGTATGTATATAATAGAAAAATCATACTGGATCAGATAACTGTCCAACATGGACATCTAAAGCAGCACTAGACTTGTCAGTTTCAGGATCATGAATAAGCAATGCTTCTAACTCATTATTTAGATGAATCAAGCGATAGGAACGATCATCATTTTCTGGTTTTTCGATTATCTTTGAAAATACAGCATATGAATTATCAGGAGAAATCTCAAAACCAGAGGGAAGCTTATCAAATTTTGATGATGGTGCCATAGTTGTATGTTTCGAGCAAATAATTTGTAATTGCAAATGTTTGAGAGATAAGTTTTTCGACAAGATGAATAACTAATAATTTTATCAATAATAATTAAAAATATTTGAAATAATAATGATTTATTAGTGTATTTAAATAAGATAGATAGACACATCTTTCTTTTTACGTAAGGAACGGGTCTGATTGTTTTGGGAGTTTTTAATTGAATATCCATAATAATAATAAATGACCTCACAAAAAAGGACATTTAGGAAACAAAAGCATCAGATTCAATGTCCACTTTATTAAAGTATAATTTTTGGATATTATGAGATAAAAAAAACAAGGTGTGTACCTACAAAAATAATTTTTTCAAGTCCGTTATCTTTATCCTTTAGCAATATTGAGCGAAGGTCTCACCTTTCATGGTAAAGACTGCTAATCAGAACTTTCTAAGGAATAAGTAAATTATTTACTTGTTATTTCATATCACTTTATCGTGTACTTAACAAACAACATCATATATATAATCATGGGAAGATGTACACTTAATTATGGACTGTGCCAACAAAACATGGGTCTGGCTAAGCTCACAGACTCGAGATTTAGTTAAGACCTTTATATGCTAAATATTTAATATTAACATTAAGTGATTTTCTCTAAAATAAAAAACTTGACGAGATCCATGTTTTGTTGACACAGACAGTTCCCGCGTAAAAACTAATTTGCAATTCGTTATTGAAATAAAAATATAAAATAATGATAATAAATAATAAATAAACCTTGCATTCTCGTTTGTAATTTTTAAATTTATTACTTGAAAATCAATAAATTTTTTCTTGTACATAAATAGCAATGCCCGTAATATTTATTATTATAGCCATTACCATATTAGTATTAATATTAACATTTCCGTTAAATCATTATCATAATCATTATTATAATAGACAGGTTTGATTTAAATCAAAGTCCGTTAAAATCGGGATGCACTGTGTATGGTAATAATAATAGCAATAGATAATAAACACATTAATATTTTTCGACACTTCCCGAAGATGGTAAAAATCACCTTTGTCTCAAGTTCTATATTGCAAGCAAGTCTAGTGATAAAGATTACACGACATCAAGTAATAGTTGTCGTATTGTTACAAAAAAAATTTATAACAGCCAAAAATTCACACCGGTTTGGTGCTTGGCCTTCTTGATGTTATAGAATTCAAATTAATGAATCTTTTTATGATCGTACCAGGGCCGAAAAAATCAATTGTTCCGGTTCATTTGGTAAAACCCGATTGAAATTATAGCATTAAAAAATATTTTTCTTATCGTTTATAATAAATTTGTGAAGAAAATATCACAAGTGGTTTCTAAGTTAAAAATGTTTTTCGTGAAAAAATTACATATTAATTAATATAGATATAAAATAAAATCGTTCAATCGATTAAAACTATTTCTCTACTATTTTAGCATTTAATAATGCATTTACTTCATGATTTTCTTATAGTCAATGCACAACAGCTACAACATCAAAATCACCAACTAAATAACAATAATGATATTTACAAATAATTGATTAATATTAACTACTTTAATTTTTGTAATTTCCGCCCGATTCATAGGCCCAACAATACAGCCTGCAAAACAGTAAAGTCATGTTTGTCTCAGATCATAGACATTTATTAGTAAGTTATTTGTGACAGCTGATATATGTTTTGTGGTAATCCATTAGTGAGACAAGTGAAGCGTTCACTATCAAAACGTATATAATGAATGGTAAGCATTTTTTCACTAATAGGAAAATATTACAAAACTAACACACGGCAGAAACAAGAACAAAAACCGTTTAAAATTAATTAATTTAATATAATACACGATTTTGTGATTTGTTTGCATAATCTCTTGTCAGCAAAACAATCAAGTAGCTCAAACCTCCATTCTCTTGGTAAAGAATTTACTTACATTTGATGTGTTTGCTGACAATTCAACACTCTGCCGTATGGTGTCTGATTTAGTGTGTACACACTTTGATATATTTGTGGTGACAATACTTGGCTTTCTTGATAAGCCGTTCTCTTTCGTTATTGTTATTATTTTACAAAGACTTTTTTTTGAACAATATGAAAATTCAAAAGGGCAAGAATTGAATTATGGAATAAAAAAAGCGAATCATCAATGAAATATTTCAGCAAGCTCCAAATCCAAGCAAATTAACTGCTACTCACAAATGATTTTCAAAGGATGACCCTTCTCTTGAGACTTTTGTTTGATTGGAGTATAGAGAGAGTCAATTTTATTTTGATTCATACCTTTATAATATATTTTTACTGTAAGTTGGCTTTGGACAAGTAATATCTTTGTATTCACCTTTCACAAATGGACAAATATTATTATAAAGGTATTCTTGCCTTTTATAGTCCAAAGGAGGTGGTATTAACAAAAATAGATAAAGCTTTAATTTCTTCAAAAATATCTGCTTTCTTGGTTTTCAATAAATTGAATTCAGTAAAAGGTCCATTAACCAAAATTAGATGATTCTTGACTCTAAACCATTTGATTTGTAAAAGAACTTATGCAATTGATACAGTTGTTTATGTTCTTAATAGACTCTTTAGAATGCATCAAGATGTTCTTGAACGGAGATGGCATGTATTTGACATAATATTAATATTGATTACACAAAGCAAAATACCAATTGTTTGCCATCTTGAATAATGAATGATGATGGTGATTACTCTACTTATAACAGTAACTGATAATTGTAAACTTTAAGTTATAAATTTAATATTAATATTATCAAAATTAATACATATTTTAAAAAAACTAACAAACACTCTCTGTTTATACTTGACTTTCATTCCATCCTGATCTATTTCCAATAGATTTTCTATCATCTTTTGGTGACTTATTTTTGTATTGAATTAATGTTTCTGCTATCTGTAACTTGTTCATATCAAACATGAAGTACTGTTATAATAAATAACTAGAGTGAAAACAAATTGCGGCAATAACCACCACCATTTAATGATAAACACTTACTCTCTAACTGCTTCATGTTGGTTTGTTTCCTTTTTTCTCTTGTTATTTCCTGATGACATTTTTTTAAAAAAGAAAAAGTTAATTGATTGACATACACAAGAAAAATTTTATTTACGCACGTGTATGGTTGTACAAAGAAGCCCCTATTGTTATTGTTGTTGACGCGATTGAATTTTTTTTTAGAAAACAATTTATCTTTTACAAGATGAGAAAGCGTGAATGTCGTTGTTAGGTATGGCTTGCTCTAAAGGAGACAAGGTGTTGTTTATTAATGACCAGAGAGGTACACTATTCTTTGTTGCATTGTATTGATTTTTTTTTTATTGTTTTTATAAATATTGATATACATGTATTGATTCTTTACTTAATAAAATTTCTTGTTGAAATCAAACTGTGGGAGCAGAACTTGTATTTACGAGATTCTTTATCATGATAAACGATTTGTATCGTTTTTGCTTTTCGTAATCAACATTGATATTAATATTAAAATAATAATAAAATGTCAAAGGCGATATATACAAGGAAGGGAAACATTTTGATATGCGACATTTTCATAATTGTAAATTTTACAGATGTCAAGGCACACATGCTACCTTAACACTTTGCAGTCATTCTCTCCTCTTCCTCGTGTACAAAGGCTAACCTGACCTGCGACGCCCGATAATACAATGATGCAATTAAATTTTCAGGGGGGGGATGCATGGCCCTGGAATTTATTGAGATTGCATTCATTGTCAAGGACACTTATGCAAATCCTACCTCTAATGATGGCTCTGTGACCAAGTCACAAACTCTGGAGGAATATTAAGAGAATCTGCAGCTCGTTTCAAGCACAGGAGGTTGCAATTCAGAATGGGGTTGGTGGCCCTGAAATGTGTTTGGGCTCTGATGTTAGTAAAATAAAATGTTTCGGATTTTGTTTGGTATGTTTTGTATAAATTAATCATTCCCAAATTTTCTGTTTCTTTAATTTTTATCTGATCAACTGAATTTGTTATTTAAATGTGGGTAGGATTGTTGGTGAGCAGACATGCCACAAACAAAACAGCAATCCAGGACTCAAAACTTGGAATTCAGGAAAAAACTAAAACAGCAACTTCCCAAGTTGCTGAATTTTCAAACCAGTTGCAGACACCAGCTTTATTCTAGAGAGGTATAATACACAAATGCTGATCTTCATCAGTGATCAATGCTCATGTGGTGACAGTCAAGCCTGATTTGAGAGGAAGATTAGAAAAGTTTTGTCCAAAGCCTTCCAACATGTGTGAAACCTCACTATGGAAAAAAAATCCACAGTTATAGGCGTGTTAAGAGCACCGCATTGCATGTTTGTGATAGGAAATTTTAATTAAATCTGACACCTGTGTTCAACATCAGATTTATTATTCATAAGGAACCATACAATGGGAAGGGAAAATATTTTTTTTGATCCTCCCTATTTATTATTCTTGTGAACACCAGAGGTCTGGGTAGACACACATTATTAAAAGTTTCATTTATGCATGGCCTTGGTGTTATTATTACCTGGGTGATGCAATTGTTTGTTATGTCAATGATAACATCAAATGTATTAAAGAATAATCATGACCATCATGAAGATTTGATGGATGGAGGCATTCACATAAAAGGAAATGATTAAATAGCTAAGTCATGTTTGTTTTATTAAAGATGTATAATTAATTATATTTAAAAAATTATTATTTTATTTCATCTTTGTAATGGCAATAATTTCAATAATTCTGAAATTGTTGTTTTTTAGTCTAATGATTGAATCAATCACACAAGTGATAGTCAGTTTAGATGGCTTTTTTAAAAAAGGTTTAGTTGAATTAATATTATTAAATGGTTTTTTTATTTATAATAATTATTTTTTTGATACATCAAACTCAGTCCAAAATCTACCATATTTATATATTTTAAAAATTTTTTTTAGTACATTTCAATTAGATTTTATTAGATCAAATGATACATTCAGCAAAAATCTCAGAAGATTACATTGTGCATTAATTCTAAGATAAAAAAATCTGTTTTAACGTTTTAGTATTATCAATAATTATCTTTTATTTATTTGTTTATCTGTTTTAGCTGATCAATAAGATAATTTATCTTATCCATTTTTATATAGGAGTAGTACTATATATCACTTAAGATAACAAATGGTGATATTATAAAACTGTTAATTATATAATCACATTATAATTGACTAAATTTTGATCCCTGAAATTCTTGGTAATACCAATGTTCACTTTGTCTGGTTTTGTTGCAGTATGCCCCATATAATGGTGTTTTAATGTTCATAACGATATACAGTAAACAAAAATATCTCACTAACTAGTGATTCGAATTTTATGGATTAGACACCTCATTGAGAGAATTCGAATGGCAGTTGTTTTTATCCAAAATGGCCAGATATTGACTGAGTTATGGTAATTTCAGTTAATTTGATATGTTTTTTCTCATGACATGTATTACTTTATTAATAGCAATAAAAAATTATTATTATTATTATTATTATTATTGCTTTATAATTTTTTCCGTAAAAATTCCATATACCTTATAATAATCATTCCATAGCAATAAGAATTATAATTCATATGGAATTTCCGAATGCAAATTCATTGAAAGGTGTTCTTGATAATTTTTTAAAAGAAGATTTATTGGATGAAGAAGTTCAGGATTCAAAAATATTAGGAATTCAGTTTGCTGGTAAGGTCTATTGTATTTATGTGTTTGTAGAGTTAATATATTATTATGTGATTAATATTTTGGTCATTACATAAAGGTCTGAATGACCAGATAATAGGGATAGAACTTCTTGAAGATGGACTGTATTTTGGACTAGAGGGACCGACTTTCAATTTTCCAGCTCAACTTACAAATATTAAATGTCTTCGCAGTGCACTAGAAGCTTTATATTTTTTAAAAGTAAGATACTAATATTCTGTTGTTGTTCGTGATTAATATTTATTTATCCTTTTTATTTTTTCTACATTAGCAAAACATTGTTAAAAGAGCAAAGTTAATATCTGATTCAAAAAATGTGGATCATCCATACAATAAAATATTTCACTGCAATTCAAATACTTTAAGAGAAGCAAGGCATTTCAAGATTAAGTTTACCTGAAAAACAGATTTTACTCCAAAAGCAAAAGGGAACAATACTACTCTAGTTAAGAACATGAAAATTAGTAGTGATGTTAAGCCGGCTAATAATCTGCATACTTAATTTCTAAATTTGGTAAAAGATTTCTGTGTTACTTTCTTGTTATAGAAATAAAATTACCAATTTAAGTAGTAAACGGCTTAGCCGGCTAAGATTTTTAAATGGCCAACATCACTACAAATTAATACCTTTGAAATTTAAAATTGACCTGAAGAACTTGGATTTTTATTAACAAAATAATAAAACGAAATAAAATCTTAATTTTTTAATAAATGTTCCGATAAAGGATTTATTTGAAATTTTCTGATGATAATGATTGTTTAACAGTTGTTGTATGCAAATAGACTGATTTTGGGTCTCCCATATTACTAATAATATTAATTTAAAAATTTGTGAAAGTGTTCGAGTATCATTTATTTTGAAAATGTAAGGAGCAATTTTTTCACCTTGTTCTCTCTTCAAAATACTTCTAATGGTGCTATAATTCTTTGGTTCCATAGTAGACCTGATGTAAATGAGTTTCATATTAATTATTTTTTATATAGGGATAGTTCTATATATCACTTAACAAATGGGACATTATAAAACTAATTGTGATGATAACTAAATTTTGATTCTTGAAATTCTTGGTAATACTAATGTTCACTTTGTCTGGTTTTGTTGGAGTATGTGACTATGAATGAATTTTTAAAATCACTACTTACAGACAATGTTTATATAAGAATAGAGAATCACCTAGAAGAACAAGTAAAGTTTACAGGAACAAATTTTAGTGAAGCATACATTAAGTTTACACACTTTATCAATATTACATATATACAGTACACTTTAGTCCCTATAACTTTCTGCACCATAGCGAGAAAAAATTTACAATCAAAAATGCAATATCCTTTACAAATTTTATAAAAAAGTAATGTATAATAATGAAACCAATTTTTATTAACAGCTTGCTTTATTGATTAAACATTTTTAAATAAATTTAAAAAGTTACAAAAGTTACACACCCCCGCATTCCACTGAATTTTCAAAAAATCATAAAATGATGAATGAAATATAAATTCAGCCTTTTTCAAAGTGAAAACCTTTTTGAGCGAGTAGCTTAAGCTTAAGGATAGAATAGCATAGAAATATATATACAAATTTGTGAAAGAAAATAAAACAAAAAAGTCACACCACTTATGTTAATTAATAAATTATTTTTTTTTTTAATTAAGGAATATAAATTACAAAAATAATTAACAAAAATTAATAAAATAAAATTAATTAAATGAAACAAAAATTTATATAATATGTATGTATATATGTATGTATGTATATTTAAAACATACCAGATGTTTGAAATTTTAAAAAAAGTTTTTTATGAAAAATAATTCAATAAATTAATATCCTTCTATATACTCTTTTCTTCTTTAACTTCACTTTCTCCACTCCTTCCTTCTTTTCTATCACAACTAATTCAAACATCCATCCACCTGTCAATCTAATCTATCCTCCAAATAATATTTTAGGACCCAACATAACACATGTTTAATGCATTGATTTCTTTAGCTAACCAAGGCCAACTAATTCCCATTCTACCTGTAAGTTTTTGTTCATATTGTAGTAATTCATACATAAATTTAAGATTTGGTTGAATTATAACATTTAGACGTCTTGCGCGAACAAATAAATATGACGATACAAGTGATCTACCAAGATGTCTCATAATATACGCTATTGTAATCGTAGCTGATCTAGAAACTCCTACTCGACAATGAATAATCACACTTCCATTCAATCTGCGTGCATTTTCTAAAAATAGAAAAATATGTGAATGTTATTATTGTTATTATTATGATTATTGATAATTAATTTGCTTTGTTTTCAAAAATAAAAAACCTTTTCCAACTTACCGATGAAATTTACGCATAAATCTAAATGGTTCCATAAACTATCAATACCATCATCATATAAATTACCCAAATATAATATATCAAATTCCTTCCCATCCAATCTGGCGTCTTCTCCAACTGACAATACATGTGTTATTCCAAGTGCCTTGAGCATACCAGCATTACATGCATGGCTTAAATTTCCTAAATACAAAAATGGTAAGATCCTACTTGGAAAACTTCCCTCAAATTGTGACGAATAAAACCACGAAAATTTATTTGAAATCTCTATGTTGTCCCTTTCATCTTGACTAACTTTTTTCCTTTCTAATACACGTTTCTCAATATTTAACAGTGTTGTCACATCACTTGGGTACACAAAGAAACTGCGAGTTTTTTGTAGCCGTAAGTATGCTTGTGGAAGTCGTAAAGTCTCATTGTACATGAGATATGTTAGCGCAAGGAGTGATGTCTCTGTGTATCCATCTGCACAATGAATTAGTATCTTACGATTGTCATTATTTGCTTTTTCTGAGATGAACTCACAAAGATCTAATAGTTTTGTGATTAGCGAATCATATGAAGTTGTTGAATTACATCCTACAGCTGACGACATACAATCAACATGAATTATATCTTTGATGGATATTGGCCTAGACTTTGGTATTGTGGAAAGTCCTTCGGTTAGGTGTTGAAGCGTTTCTTTATCTGGGATTTCTCCAAGATCATGTGCCTCAATACAAATACAAAAATGGTGTGGATTATCATCGATCAATGAGATCGCTGAATCTGCAGGGTCTAACTCGGTTGAAATTGGTACATCTTGTGTATTACCTAACTATAAATTAAAATGATTTATTTAGCATGTTTAATTTATTTAATATATAAGTCCTTATATTTATATTATTTTTTTATATTTACCCAAACATTTGGTGATATTTCTGATGCTGCTGTAAGAATTCTCATTTCCTCCCTTTCCTGTTCTGGAAAATTAATTTTATTACGCCAAATACCTTTATTATCTATTGCTACAACATTTAGAAAATCTTTTTCAAAAACAGAAAATGGATCTATAAAATAAATAAATAAATATTATTATATGATATATTTAATAATATGCATTATTATATCATTTTTTTTTTTTTTTAAAAAATTTATACCGAGAATAACAAAAGTTTCATAATTGATTCCAATTGGTCGTTGCTCTCTTAAAATTTGTTGTGCCCAAGCAACTTGTTTTGCAACTTTTAAAACATTTTCATTAAGTCCATCCTCTCCATACACAATAATGTCTGAAATTGTGGCATACTTTGCAACCTGTATCTTAAAATTCCTTAGATTTATCCCTTCTCCATCAGCCACTTTTAAAAATCCTCTTATATAATTTGATTCTTCTTCGTCATTTTTGCTTTTATTATTATTACTATTATCATTACCATTATTTAGACCATTTCTGCGATTCCCATTACTATTACTATTCTCATCATTATGGTTATCATCATCATCGTCGTCATCGTCATCATCGTCGTCATCATCATCATCATTAGATGATGGTGATGATGATGGTGGAGTGGAAGGATTTAAGATGTCACTTGGAAATACCGAGCCAATTAATTGTGATCTTTCACTACCTTCATCAGCCTGAATCAATGTTATTCCGCGATGTTCTGGAACCGGACAATTATTTACGCAAAAAAAATTATTTTGTTGAACGTTTGAACCATCCACGCCATGTAGCCATGGAAATAACATATTGTTCGGTAAGGATTGAGTATAATATGTTTCATGAATACGATAATAATGTGAAGCTGTTAAACCTCTAATAAGTGGATTTTCACTTATTATTGGAAAAACTTCAAAGACTGAAGGTGAATGTGAACGCGGTGTTGCAGGTGAAGAAACTGTTGTTGTTGAAAGTGGAGAGGAAGGTGGTTGTGGTGTAAATGGTGAGGCTGGATTTATTTGTTTTTCGATCGCTGTCATTTTATCTATTCTAGAATTTTTTAAAATTCTAAACAATTTTATAATATTTATTGTCTTACGGAAGGAATTAGATTTTCAAGAAAAATTTTTTTACTAATATCAAAATATTTATATAAATCGAAACGGTTTTCTTTTTAGTAATGGTAAAGTAAAAAAAAATTTTTTAAAGAGAAAAAATTTTTCCCTATGAAATAAATATATAAATATTATACTGTTACACAGAATAGATATGAACAATAATATGAACACTTCTATTAATTACGTATTATATATGGGGTAAAAGCAGGAAAAGTAAACGTAACGCCACACACTACAATTTTTTACAATGCTTCTAATTCTTTTAATTATTCAATTCCCTCTTCCATATAAGATATTAATCCAAACATAAAATTAGGCAAGTAAGTGCTGGATTGTTTGAGGAATCCTCAAATTTTACTGATAGGAACATGAAATGTCATTGTCGAGTTTCCCTAATTTTTTAATACACTCTTATAATAGGATATCTGCCTTTTGAATATCATCACCTTTGAATTAAAAGCATCTTTTTAGCCAACAAGATCATCTTTAGTTTGTAGTTGTCAATTATTTTCTTGGATTCTTGTTCTACAGGAAGCAAGCTCTTTATTTTTCCTTCTTTTTATCCTGTAGTTATTGTGGCCCTCATCTTTTCCATAGATATGTATACAAAGATGAAGCGAGGAACAGATTGAAATTATACAAGTTAAACAACAATTGCACAAAAACATACATAGCAATAAATAAATATTTTGTATATAGCTTAGATTCACCAAAATGTAAATGACCAAAAAAAAGATCATCAAATTGACTATATAGTAATGATCTGCGCTATGTATGATTGGACCATTTAATATTCACCTATTTAGACTTTATTTAGTGCCTGTACATGAAGATCATTACATAACTTGGTAATAAAGCGTTGGGTTCTGTTATTAAATCATTCCTTTAAATAGAAAAAAACATTCTCGGATAACTTTCTAAAGAGAACCTTACCCTTCTTTAAAGAATGTTAGAATAATGCGAAAGATTTTGTTTACAGGACTCATTGGAGATAAGGAACCTTCAAAACGTGTAAATTTTTCATTCTTT